TTGATATGTTTTGTCTGCAAACTTCACCCACACACATGCACGTGCGCATATAATATGCATATACTCATATGTATGTGTTTTTCTTAGACTACTTTTTTTTTTTCCCTTTCAGGGACGAGTAAGGGCTATTTTGACAATGCTCATTTTATAATATGCAATCTCTTCCGTTTTTGTTTTGGTCACAAAAAGTAGAGAAAATTGTGGTCAAATTCTATTATTAATCAGTAAACAAAGAATAATGATATGCTATCATCAATTACGCACGAATGAAAGCATCATTAACACTTGTTAACCTTTGCATTTTGTAGCGACTTATATCATGACTATGTACAGAGATTTCAAGCAATTTTCTAATAAATTAAGAGTGCACATATTTCTTACGAATGGAACATCTCACGGATCTATGAAGTTTCGTCAATTTGAATAATGTTCCGTCAATTGTGTATGTGTCTATATGTGTGTGTGTGTGTGTATATATATATATATATATATATGTATGTATTAAATTTTAAGTGGGCATATTGGTTACCCACAAGAGAGACAAATATTCTCCTCATCACGAACTAATCAATTTTTATGTGCCAAATCTGTTAAACATCATCATCTTTGAACAAGAAAATTAGTTTAATTGAGCTTTCGAAGAAGCGTCAGATAGATATCTCCTTCGATTATATAATCTTAACTTTCAAAATCATGTCCCAAAGTGCAACACTTTTATTGGCGTTCGTATTTTTGCATAATGTAATATGTTGCATCTTACGAAAGTAAAATTACTAATAATCGTATCAAATTACATTTGACTCTTCTCATTGATGGGATGTGGCATCATCGCCAAACTAATATTCATCCCTGACATCATTCTGGGAAATTACTATAAAATTCATAATGGGAATATCTCTCCAGCATACTAATTAAATGAGTGGCTCTAAACAAGTTAACGTGCTTTGATAAGTTCTTTTTCATTCTCCCCACATTTTATCTCTTAAAAAGATCCTTCATGATCTTCTTTCGAGCTAGCTAAGATTGAAAATCATTGAGAAAGAACCACAAAAGAGTACTCTGAGAGCATTATTATATCAAAGCTTAAAATTTAGGACAAACAATGGATATAACATTTGAAATAACATTATGTATTGAAGCACAAAATAGAACAGAATATTAAACATTTTTTTTTTTTTTACACATAATGTAGCATTGAAATTGACATTTTCATTTAAAACGCTCATTTTTTTTTTAAATAATTAATGAGACGGGGTAACTAGCTTTAGAGGCAAGAAAAACATTCCGGTTAGGTAATTGACACCTAATTCCTATAGCTACCTCATCCTCACCAAACCCCTCAAGCTCTAAATTTATTATTGTTCTTATGTGTTAAATATCTTCCCCTTTCCTCCATGGAGAAATTTCTTAAAATGAAAAAGCAGAATCTGTATTATATTAATTTATTTCTAACATGGACTACGTTAAATCTCAACCTGAATGTCCGTATGTATATGATTACATATGTACGGACATTTATTCCATTTTTTCCACCTCATGCATCAACATAAAACTGGCGAAATCAGTGAAACTACACACACACACACACACAATATATATATATATATATATATATATATATATCTATACACACACACACGTATATATATCTACCATATATATTATATGTAGCAGACTTTACAGGAAGCGAAATATAGCTTGAAAAAAGAGCCTTTCTGGTTCGTTCTTCAGATTCTATTGGGCGACCAAGAAAAAAGGTAACACCTTTTCCTTTGAGATTCTGAATATCCGAAGAGAGATTCTAGCTAGCCCTAAAATCTGACTGCATATTTTTAAAGCACCAAACGATGTAAACACCTTACCTTGGCTTGTGCAGCCACGACAAGATACAGTAGTACTAAGCCTAGCAACCTAACAAGAACAAACTAATTGCCTGGCTAAAAGACAACTGAACATGCAAGTAGTACTACTTTAGCTCTCTAGTTAATTAATTCTACGGCCTTCAATTCACATAGTACTTCTTCCTTTTTTGAATCAGACTACTTTTAATTTGTACTACACCACTTTATCAAATCTTGAACTGGACAGCACAAAATATTAGATCCCTCTTGCGAAAACAGACAACAAGATCACGATTCGAATGTTTGTTTTGGGTTATATATATAAATAGATCAAGTCTAAGTATAAATATATTCCATTTGTGTCTTTCAGTCCACGTGTATTTCACGTGCTTTCAACTTATTGCTCACGTTAAGTGATTATCGTATTTAAGGTTCGAATTGAAAAGACTCGGAACATGATAAACACAATGAGAAAGCTCTTGATCATCATCTCTCATCACCATCACGTACAGGTTGGCACAAACAGTTAGTGCGTGTAACTGTCCTGAAGATAGCAAAAAATATTCCTCTTTGATTCTTATTTATTTATTGAAATATTTATCTTTCAAGAACCACCAAAACCGGCCGTGTGATCAATTTTGTAAGTATAATCTTTCTCTAAACTAATTACTAGCTGCACACGTAATAGTATTGCATATTAATATATAAGCGACAAGATCTATTATCTCTATAATTTTATTTATTATATAAGAAGACAATCGATGCATTATTTATAATGATTTCCCTATTTCCAATGTTGCCTTTTCATTAAATTTTTTTTAGTACCTAGAAGCTGCGAAAAAGCATTGAAAAATACAGTCACGACAACCTGTCAATTCACGGAGAGGTTTGGCTGCAAACCATGAATAGCGAACCATTCCTCAGCTACGTTCACTTTGGCCAACATCTTGTTTGCCTGCATCTAGTTGCTGAAGCTATGGCTATATATGCATGTTTGCGTAATATATATCTATAGATATATATATATATATATATTAAAAGGAGGAAAAAAATATTTATACCACTACAACGAATTGAAGACTACACAACCCTCATATGGCGCTTTTTTAGAAACATCGTCTAAAATAGACAAAAAAAAAAAAAAAAAAGAGAGAGAGAAATGCGGATTGATGGATAATTTTCAAAAATCAATCGTCCTTCATTTCCAAAAAAAAAAAAAAAAAGGTCGAACTTCTAACAAAGTTTTCTATGAAAGCTGTCATTAAAGGTATACGTTTTAAGATGGTTTGGGAAAACCATTGTAAAATTTTGCAAATTCTAACTTGGAGTCTCAATATCTTCTCTACATAAAGTTTAAAAGACCGAAACAAAACCCTAGAATACTTGCATTGTTGCTTGTCACACCCTATCGCCTGTCATCGCTATAGCAATAACCGTCGTCTCATAGGGCACATTTAACATTAATAGTTCCAGAGAAAGCTTCTGTCAAATATGTATTACTCTTATGTGTTTCGAATTGATGCCCACATGCAGATTTGACGACTTTCAGAAATTATCTTATGCGTGACAAACATATAATGACTCTCTTTTACTATGCGTTTTAAAGTGCGGTTAAACATTTCATGACGCTTTTTAAAATTAATCTTTTTCTATTTGCTTTTCCCTTTTTTTTTTCCCGAAGAAAAAAGTATGACTATTTTAGGATGTACCATTTAGTTCATTTTCTAGCCCCTTTATATCAACAACTAATAATAACGGGCTGCATGATATATGCCTAAATAGAAAAAAAGAGACAAATACCTTTTAAAATGTATGTGTTTTAGATTTTTATTCCTTACACTTATTAATATCGTTTAGTTAAAGAATTATATTATTTAAAAGAGTATTAATCAAGAATAAAAAATAAAAATCTTAGAACAATACATTCAAATAGTAAGTTTACCAATTTTCTCATCTAAATATTAACCTAAGTTATATCTTCGAAAGTGATCATGCTGTCACTAACAATTTAACGTCATGATTTGGAAGTTTCTACATAGACCTAAACGTGAGTACTCTCTATAACTATGACCTATTATGTATATTTACTATCGGTATGAATAGCATTATTTCCATCAAAATCTTTATTAAATCTTAAATGCTAACTAGTACATCAATTTAATTAAATCTGTTTTCGAGTGACATTATTATTTGATCGAGACCCTTTTGGTATTTTTATCAAAGTGCTATTCGCAGATGTAGTAGCTAGAAACTAGTACTATAATTTATTAACATATATTATGTACGCCTGTCAGCATTTTAATTTTGTCTTTTCTGGAAAAAAAAAATAAGTTTTTTCTCTTTTTTTTTTAAATTTCTTCTGGAAATGGCCATTTCGTCGAACTTATCCACTTTCAATAATCTAAATCTAAAAAACAAAAGTGGTCCATTAGTTTCTTGCATCTTCTTCAAAATGTTTCACAGAATCTAGCTTATCTATACAGAGCGGTATCTTTTAAGGCCCTACAGTAAAGAACGAGAGTAGTACTGTAACGAAATCGCCATATGCATCACTTAATTTGTCTGTACTATAGATGAAAAACTTTGAAGTTTCATAAAAGAAAACCTTTTGATAATTTCTTAATTATTATTTTAGCTCTAGTACTATATTTCTTTGCGCTTCTTATAAGGATTTGTTTTTGGGTTCGCCGTCTTCTTTTTTGTCGCCTACGCCTGGCCATTGCGCTATAGTATTTTGCACTGAATCATGCATATGTAAAAGCAATATTAAATATTCTATGAAGCTATATTATACATATATATATATATATATATATATATTCCTATAATACATCACAAACAAAAATATTGGCCATGCACAACTTAATGCATGACTATCACATTTGACACACGCAAGCACATTGTATAAAGTATTTTAGCGAAGAAAGCACACGTTGATATATATATATATATATATATTGATACATATGATAACAAATTATAGAGTGATCTGAACCCAAGTGAGATCAAGATGAGCAAGATCGAGATAGTACAAGAAGATGAACAAGAGATAAAAGTTACATGACATTCTGGCTCTTAGAAAAACCCCCTGCATATATTTACACTTCTCTTCTTTTAGGTGTGCGTCATGACTCATGAGATGATTCCTTCGTTTTTACTTCATATGGTGCAGGTTCTCCGCCTAGGACGCACTTTCACAGCGAGAGGATTAGCCATTTCGCAAGAAAGCCTCAGCACCTCAGATAGGTCCACCGGGTTGCGGGCCGACCCGACCCACTCGAACTCGTGGAGCAAAGTCCCCACCCAGAAAGTCACGGTTGCCAACCCCAATGCCTTCCCGGGACAAGCCCTCCGACCCGACCCGAAAGGCGCGAGCCTCAGGTCGGACCCCATGACCGAAAACTCCACGTCAGATTCTCGGCGTGAGACGAATCTCTCTGGCTTGAACTCCAGTGGGTCCGGCCACACATGTGGGTCCCGCGTGATGGCCCACATGTTGACCATGGCTGTGGTCCCTGCGGGCACGTGATAACAGTCAACGACAGTGTCTATGATTGCCAAGCGGGCCCACGAGAGAAGGGGGCCCGGGGGGTGAAGCCTCAGGACCTCCTTCACTACAGCCGGGAGGTAGACCGTTGCCGCGATATCTGATTCAGTCAACGGCCGTGATCTTCCCACGACTCGGTCAAGCTCGTCGTGGACTTTTGATTGGATGTCCGGGTGAAGCACCATCCTTGCCAATATCCACTCGATCAAAACCGCCACAGTATCAGTTCCTCTGAATATCATCTCCTATATAAAACGAAAAAAAAATTTTGAAACAAGTTAACGACAATTTTTTATGATGTCCTATACTTCGTTTATGAAAAGAAAAAAGAAATGTCAAATGTGATATTGGAGAAAGCAATTCTTTACACACTTCTTATAAGTAGGTCAAATACTCAACTTATAATTACGTAAAGATACATTAATACGTTTGACGTGAAAATGTATAACCGGTCTCATTTGGTATTCTTCATGATAAGGGTATATTTTACGGTTGTGTAAAACTTGGTATATTTTCATACTTTTGATTCCGTTTGGTTCTAATAATCTGACAATTTTTGCCGATCACCACTAGTCAAAAGGCATAAAGTAGGGTTAAAACTGCGACATAGGTTCGATCGCATATTGTATAAAGAAATTTTTTAAGTAAACTTTCTCAACATGCATGTATAGAAAATAAAAAAAGTATCTTTATAGTTTTTGACACTTACCCAAAGAACTGCGATCATATCGTGGTCAGATATCTTATCAGGTCCATGAAGAGACAGAAGAACATCGACAAAATCATGATGGTTATTTCCGCCGGAATTATTATTATTGGCTCTATGTTCTTGAATAATCCGGCTCACGAACCGGTTCACTTTGGGAACCAGTTGGGAGCATCTGAACCGGATTCTCTGAAGGTCAAGAGAGCCAATCCAAGGAAGATGATCAGACCAATTAAGCTTTCCCAACAACTTATAACCTTCTTCGACGAGTCGACTCAGCTCGTTACTGTCAGCATTCCACGATCCCAACTCGTACTCACGTCCAAACACCGACCCCATCATGTTGTGAAGCGAGGCTTGCTTAAGCACATCTCTCACACAGAACCGCCCACGATCATGATCATCATGAATATCATAATCGCATGCAATATTGTTCTTAATCATGGCCACCATTTGGTCGGCGATCCGAAACCTCTGCGTCTCCGAGGCGGAGATTTGCTTCGGAGAGAACAGATGCGTCGCGGCGATTCGCCGGAGAGTTCGCCAGTAAACCCCGTAGGGTGCGAACCCGATCGCTCGGTTGAACATCAAGCTGTAGGCAGACTCCTTGATCGGACGGTCGGCGAAGGCCGAGCTGTTGAGGATCTCCCTCGCCACGTCGGGGTCGGACGTGATCACGACACGGGTCTCGCCGAGGCTGCAAGCCATGAGCCGCTTGGAGCCGAACTGCGCCGCCGCCGAGGCCAGCCGGCGGTGAGCCAAGTTAGCCATGAGGTGGAGGCTTCCGAGGATAGGGAATCCCCGGGGACCCGGAATAGTAGGGTTTGTAATGGCGGCGACGTTGGCGGTTGGAGTGATTTTACGTTTTCGCCCTCCGTTGTTCCACCGGTATCTTCCCCACGCCGGCCCGCCTGGGTGTGCCCAGTAGAGGATGGAAATGGCAAGCCAAGCCATGCACAAGAGGAGGATCAGGATGAGGGTACTTTGGGAAGAAAGGGCTTGGCATTTGGAGGCAAGAGCAAAAACCCAGAAGCTTTCTATGTTCTTTGTTTCCATGGCGGATCAAAGTAAAACTCTAAGACAAAACAGACCGTGTTTTCTAGGTAATATTAATGTTTTTGTGTAGGAGAGAGATGTGAAATTTCCTTTTTTGGGTTAAAACTATGAAGTGGGAGAAGTTGGTTTATATAGAGAGATTGGGAAGGACATAGATATGTTTGGTAGTAATTTTTAGAGTTCAAAATTAATTCTCTAGGTATCTACGTATGAAATTTGTGTTTGGCAAAAATTATAAAAAGTGATTCTTAAAAAATTTAAAAAAAAATTATAATCAAAATTAGAATTAATTTAAAAATAATTTTAATTTTTAAATTGTGCGACAATCATATACATTAAAGTAAAATTAATAAAACTTTCTTAATATCACTGGAATCAATAATTGTATAATTTCAATTTAATAAATACTAAGCTATTTTTATAACAACTATTTTTTTTAGCACAACTAACAATAACTTTTTTAAAATCTATATCACTACTAAACTGGTCCATAATAAACTATTAAATTAATCGGTAAATTGGTGATCTCTATAACGGAAATATCAGTAAGCGCCGCCATAGTAACATAACGGCAGTGTTTAAAATCAACGTTTTCATGATGTGACGTGTACATTTTTTTACGTCACACTTTATTATCAAAATAAAATAGATTGACTGACTTATAAGGAAAAAAAAAAAACATTATCTATATCTGATTTTTATAAGAATAGTTTATAAGTTATTTGGGATACGAGTCATATCGGTTTGTATATATTGCGGAAGGAATTATATGCATGTTATTAGTTTAATTATATATGGACATCATTGCAATTTTTTTATATGTATAAATTTCTTAAATACCTTATTATATAAATATCGTATACGTTGTACTAGTAGATTAAGGTTATGGAGCATGTTTTGAAATTAATTGTTTCAAAAGAGTGGTTTTAGAAAACAGAATATGAAAAATAAAATGTTGGTTTGATTTTTTCTTTCTTTCTTTTGGAAAGTATATATGTGTTTTGTTTTTGACTGACACACACACATATAAATATAATCATTATAATTTGTTTTGCTTTTCATAATTAATTAGGTCTTTGTTCTGACTGTTCATTGTTCAACATACTAGCTAGCAAATAATAGATTAAAATCAGAAATCCTTATGTTTGACGAGACTGGGAATTTATTAACACAAAAAATATTTGCAAGCTTCTTATAACAATAAATAAACATAGAACGTGAAGACCATGTTGAATATTGAAACAATATTTTTGGGTATTGATCATCGATTTTAACTTCTTGAAAATTTTGAGTTGGGAACTGTTTTGAGGTCAAATTGATTAAACAATACCATGCACAAGTTAAGAATATTAATTTCTCTGTTTTCTTTTCTTTTTCTAGTAACATATGATAGCATTAAGTAGATTTTGTTTTTCTTTTGATAGAAATGATTAATTAACTTCATATGAATTATTGTTCTCAAGTGTCCGATCAGCATCCAAGTGATATGAGTTTTACTATTTTTCTGCCTTATTCGCGCTCACGTGGTCCAACTTTCCCAAGGAAATCTTTTCTCAATTGATCCAAGAAAAAGAAAATCTTTCAGATTTTATTCAAAGTGATTTATTTATTTATTTTTTTTCAATTTTAACTTTTATGTTTTTAAGACTTGGTTCTCCTTCAAGGAAAAATAAAAAAACAAAACAAAACAAAATAAAAGTTGTATAGTTTTGCTTGGAGATTGTCACATTGCTGTCTGATGTATACACGTGTCACGATGATGCCATCGTGGCAACTGGCAAGTAAGAGCTGAGCCGTCTATGAGATGAGTGGTGAAAACCTTTAGTGGGCCCTGCCTATTATTTATTTGTCGCCACATTTCACATAAGACGCTACACGGTTGCATATATGGTTCGATTATGTTGGGATTCTATACTGATATCAAATCATATCAAAATCAACAAAATTAGTGTTCGAATTTAAGATAATTTGTCAAAAACAAATTTAATACATAATTTTTCATATATAAATTTAATATAATTTGATGAAATCTGATCGTTTTAAATTATTCTTTTTCCACTTTCTTTTAAAGAACTCTCCGCTTTATTTTTGTTAGTGTTTATAAATAGTAGTTGTTCACTTTAATTAAATTTATTATGTAAGTCAGTTAAAATTATTGTTTATGTCATAATCTTATTTATGTAAATAGTAACTTTAAATAGTAAGTACTATGTAAATAGTAACCGTAAATAGTGCCAAATTTTTTTATAAATAGAGCTTTAAGACTGTTTATTTTGTATACCTTTATAAGATTAATGAAACCGATCTCTCTCTCTATAGTTTCTCTTTCTAAAGTTTTTCTTCTTAGTTTTGCATTTACATAGTTTTCATAACACGTTATCAGCATGAACGTTCTATTCCTATTGCGATTGTCTACATTCATTAATTCAAAGAAAGGAAGCTTTGATCCAATTACAAGCATCTACCTTAAAGTAAAAAGAAAGTAAGTTCTAGCCCTAGTCCTTCTACAAGTTTCTACCATTGTTAGTTCAAGTGAAAGGTATGTAAATATACTCTATTATTTTATATTCACACAAAGAAGAGCTATGCCACCAACATATTATAATTTTGTAGTTATACACCATTCGAAAGGTTTACCGAGTAGTTTAGTGTGTTTGTATTCTCATAAATGGAAGGCTATGTCGCCTGCATATAATAATTTCTCATTGCATTTTCTGCATGCATATTGATATTCTCATTTGTTTATTTTTCTACATCATTTGAGGTATACAATTGTAATTTTTCTTCTACTTCTAACGGTAATATAACGGATTTTTACACAACTATTAACGACTATAAATGGCTAGTTTTTTTACTCTATAAAATGCATTTTTTCTTAACCCATACAATTCACTTCTCATCTTCTCTTCCCCCTTGTTAATATTTTTATCTTTCACCTCTCATCTTCTCTTCACTATTCTTAATATAATCTTCACGATATGACAAATATGATGATGATGTTTGTTATTTTAGTAGTCATTTTCTATACTTTTGCTCTTTTTATTGGAGATCATTCTCTACACAATTTTCAGTTTTCCTTGCAATACTCCTACTTGTAATGTTTTTCCTTTTATTTATTGCTATTATGATTAACATGTAATTTTAATTGTAATATCTATTGTAATAATAATACTGTGATTCTTATTTTATCGATGTTCTATTACACTTATCACCATATCAAATCTTGCCAAACTTGAGTTCGTTACACTGGACATCACGGGAAAGAATTAAATGTCTTGGATCATAGATGTAGAAATGCGTCTAGAGCCAGTAGGTCTAACCGATACCATCAAGGAAAATAATAACAAGTCATCACAAGAAAATGCGAAAGCAATGATTTTCCGTCGTAAACATCTTGATGAAGGCTTGAAATGCGAATACCTCACAGTTAAAGATCCACTTGTCATTTAGAAAAGTCTGAAGGAGTGATACAGCCACCAGAAAGAAGTCATACTTCCTGCCACTTGCGATGATTGGAACAATTTACATTGCTAAGATTTTAAAGAAGTTAATGACTACAACTTTACCATGTTTAGAATTGTTTCACAGCTGAAATTTTGTGGAGTAAATATCATAGATGGTGAAATGCTAGAGAAAACCTATGCCACTTTTCATGTGTCTCACATTACCTTACAACAACAATATCGTTTCCGCAATTATACGAAATTTTTTAAGCTAATCTCAGCTCTTTAAAAAACCATCAGTCTCATCCCACTAATTCAACAACATTTTCAGAAGTAAATGCTGCATTCTCTAAAAATCCAGGACGGCGCAAAATCGTGGTCATGGACGTGGTCATGGTCGAGGCCATGGTCGAGGATGTGGGTAGAAGTGGTTATTACAACCCCTCACAAAATGACATGATCTAGAAGAAGCGTCATGACAAAAGAAAAGATGTTGATGCAAGGTGTTCCTGGAATCCTGAAAATTTCTGTTATAGATGCAGTACTGAAGGATATTGGTCTAGAATTTGTCGAACACCGAAACATCTTTGTAAACTTTACAAGCATCCTTGAAGGAGAAAGAAAATGAAGTAAATTTTAATGAACACCACAATCTTATAAATGACTCAACCCATCTTAATGTCTCAGACTTCACAGATGACTTTACAGATAAGACTATTAGTGATAACTAGATAGATATATTATGCTTTTATGTATTTGCATTGCATTTTGTTTTTGTATTGGATCTGTTCTATGTATGTTGTACTTCTTTAGATAAAATCCTATGTTATGTATTTTCTTAAAATTCATGAAATTTTTATGATATTATTATTATTTTTGTGTGAAGCTTAATATGGATGGAGTTAAATTCAAAGTTAATATTGAGGATATTTGTATTTCAGATAGTGGTACAATGTACTCTATCCTAAAATCTAAAATGTACTTTTCTGATATAAAATCAATAAAGACAATAATCAATACAATATCAGGTCATGTAGATCCGGTTGAGGGGACTGGTAAAGTAAGTTTTGTATTGCCATACGGAATAATTTTTTCGTAAATGATGCTTTATTTTCACCAAAGTCTAAAAGAAATTTGTTGAGTTTCAAAGACATATATCTTCATGGATATAATACAAAATCTGAAATTGAAGGAAATGAAAAATATATGTATTTAACTACTAACGTATCAAGAAAGAAGTACATATTAAAAGACTTCCAAAACTCTCTTCGGGATTACATTACACACACACACACATATATATATATATATATATATATATGAGAGTCACTCATGGTAGTTAAAGAAGATTCCAAAATATTAACCCTATGGCATGACTGTTTGGGTTATCCTGGTTCAATAATGAAGCAAAAAATAGTGGAAAGTTCACATAGACATTCATTAAAAGGCTAGTAGATCTTTCAAGTAAACTGATTACAAGGCCTTCAACAACCAAAATTGAAATAAAATCATCTACATTTCTTGAACGCATTCAAGGTGATATATGTGTATCTATAC